CAAAGGTATATATTTACAGAAATGGATTAATTTAAGCTATAAGAACAGTTAGCAAGAAGCCTGCCATGGCCATATAGTTTGTATACAATATAAGTCTCTGTGTTTACTTGGTTGGATATGAACAGCTGTGGGACTGGCTGGTGACAAAGATTTGTCCTAACTTTGGGCAAGGCAGAAAAACTCTAGCTACAATCAGGCTTTACAGAAATCTCCTTTGCCTGGTCTTAATTAATAATTAAACTAATATTCCTTTAAGGTAAGAGCAAGTCATATGAGCAAGAATGTTCTGGTGGCTTGAATAGGAATGGCTCTCATAGACTCATATGCTTGAATGCTTGGACACAGAGGGTGGCACTATTAGGAGGTGTGGCCTTGTTGGAGTAGGTATGGCCTTCACTTCAGCTGTCTTCAGATCAAGATGTGGGACTCTCAGCAACTTCTCCAGCACCATATCTGCCTACATGCTGAGAGTAGACTAAACCTCTGAAACTGTAAGCCAGCCCCAATTAAATGTTTTCCATTATAAGCGTTGTTGTGTTCATGGTGTCTCTTCACAGCAATAGAAACCCTAACCAAAACAGAAGTTGGTAACAGTGACTGGGGTATTACTGTGATAGGCCTGACCATGCTTTTGTTTGAAGGAATGTGGACTTTGGTACTTTGGATTAGAAAATTAATTAAGTGCTTTAAGTGAGGATTAATGGATCATCCTGGTAGGAACATGGAAGGCTGTAGTGCTGATGTTGATTTGAACTGTGGAGAGGTGGGGGTGCTGGTTCAAGAAGTTTCATAGGAGAAAAATGTTAGTATGTGATCTAGAGACTGTTCTTGTGATATTTTGGTGAAGAACATGGCTGCTTTCTGCCCTTGTCTGAATAGTCTGCAAGACTATTTTGAAGAGTTTTGGATTAATTGCATTGACAGAGGAAATCTCAAAACAGCCCAGTATTGATTTTGTCCTGTGGTTATTAGTGCTCACTCTTATGCAGATGTATAAAGAAAAGGAGTAAGCTGATTGTGGGAAAATACAAAATGTACAATTTGAGGAGAATAGGGGCACCAGGATGTAGAATGGTATGCTAAGTCCTGTGTTCAAGGAGATAAGCAGATTAAAGAAAAGCCTGATATTAAATGGAATAAAAGGAGTGGTGACCTCAAGGCAAGATCTCTCCCAGCTAACCTTCCAGGTTGTGAAAAGGAATTAAAGAAAAGCTTAGAGCCAGGTGCAGTGTTCCATGCATTTAATCCCAGTACTCCAGAGGCAGGGGTCATTTGAGGCCACCATGGTCAACAGACTCAGCTTCAGGACAGTCAAGCTTAGTAGTGAAGGAAATCATCAAAAACATAAAGCTAATGAAGATGTAATTAAATGATGGGGCCATGATCCAACCCCAGCAAACAGCAGATATTGACAATTTTGGCCATGTGGCTTCAAAGTCAAAGATATAAGAAAGAGGTTATGAAGTCTCCCTCCACAACTACGGAGAGCTGCTGAGGCCAGATGTGTGGCAGGAGTGTCCTTGCATGAAGGCATAGAGAGGCCATAGAGTGAGGCTATGAAGGTGAAGCCTCGATAGTGTTGAAGACCCCAAGATGTTGGAGAGGCCAGACTTATAGGATACCTGTCAAGGAAAGCTGCTAACAGGGACTGGAACCAGCCAGGAGTGAAAAGTGTGTTTCAATCAATGAGCTGAAAGGAGTTAAAGATCTGAAGAGCACTTTGATACCAGTAATGGAGATGCAGAGTTTAGAGTTTTCACAGTTGGTTATAGCTGTAGTTATCCCGTTCCTGCCCGGCTCCTGCAGTCCTCAGACCCAAGTAAACACACAAAGACTTATATTATTTGCAAACTGTTTGGTCTAAAGCTTAGGCTTCTTGCTACCTGTTCTTATATCTAAAATTAACCCATTTCTATTAATCTATATCTTGCCACATGGTTTGTGGCTTACCTGTAACTTATGTCTTGCTACTCATTGCAGAGGCTGGCAGCTCTCTCTGCCTTAGCCTTCCACTTCCCAGAATTCTCTTCCTTCTTTGTCCCTCCTGTATTTCTTGCCTGGCTACTGGCCAATCAATGTTTTATTTATCAATCAATCATAGCAACATATATTCACAGCATACAGGATTCCCACAGCTGTTGGTTTTTGGTCTTACTTTGGTACAGCATTTTCTCACTATGTTTCCTTCCCTGTGTTTTGGAATGGCAGTGCATATTTTGTGCCATTATATGTTGGAAGTATGTGATCTGCCTTTTTGTTTTTATTTTATAGGAATTACAGTTAAGAGATTACATGAATCTCAGAAGAGACTTTGAACTTTGGACGTTTAAACAAGTTTGCGACTGCTACGGACTATGGGGACTTTTGAAGCTGGACTGAATGTATTTCTGCATTACGTTATGGCTAAAAGCCTATGGGGGTTTGAAAGTGGAATGTGATGGTTAATAGGAATGGCCCCCATAGACTCATATGTTTGAATGCTTGGCCATAGGGAATGGCACTACTAGGAGATGTGGTCTCGCTGAAATAGGTGAGGCATTTATTTCTGCTGCCTATAGATCAAGATGTGGAACTCTCAGCTACCTCTTCAGCATCATGTCTGCCTGCACCCCACCATGCTTCCAGTCATGTCAACAGTGGACCAAAACTCTGAAACTATAAGCCAGCTCCAATTAAATGTTTTCCTTCATAAGAGTTTCATGGTCATGATGCCTCTTCTCAGTAATACAAATCCTAACTAAGAAAAAATGTCAAATAAAGTAAAAACAAAACAAAAATAACTTTGTGAGTTAGTTCATGCCTCACAAAAATATCAATAAAACATCAATAACACTTTTTTCAAAATTTTCTGCAAAAAAAAAAAAATGATAAAAGGAAAAACATTTTCCAAAAATGTAATGTTGGTGATGCTGTGATAGAAGGGTGATAAGCCACAAAATGTTGGTTTTGATCAAAATAATTTCACTTTTAGGAATAATAAAAACAGCTGGAAAAGTATTATCTAAAAAACTTGTTTGGGTATTTTAAGAAGTTAATACCAAAAACTAGGAGGCAGAACTGATGAATCACTACCAAGGAGAGGTACCCATATGTTGGGGAATGGAATATTTTAACTGAAAAGATGTGTTGCACTTGTTTGTGTTGCAGAATATTTGTTTAACTGTATAAAGATGTGTTATATTTGTTTGTGTTGCAGAATAATTTTTTAACTATGTAACGGTGTGTTGCTGTTTCACCTTGTCTACCTAAGGTACCTGATTGGTCTAATAAAAAGCTGAACAGCTAATAGCTAGGCAGAGGAGGGGTAAGCAGGGCTGGTGGGCAGAGAGAAAAGGGAACCAGCCAGTCAGTAGCCATCCAGCCAGGTACCAGACAGACAAACATGGAAGAAGCAGGAAAACAGTATGGACAGTACGTAAATGAGGTAAACAAAACTTGGGCAGCACATAGATTAATAAAAATGGGTTTATTTAAGTTTAAGAAAATAGCTAGAAACAAGCCTAAGCTAAGGCCAAGCACTCATCATTAATAATAAGTGTCATGTTGGAGGTCCAAGAAAGCCTGCTACACAGATGGTTGATATAGGTGATATAAAGGTGTATATTATCCATGATTGATGAACATAAAATACAATAAAGGTCAAATAATAGAATTCACATTAGTAAAACTCTATGGAATGCAGTGTGTTACTCAAGAAAACACGTTCTATCAAAGCTGCTAACTGAGAAAAAAGGTGAGTGATTAGAAAGACTAAAATTTGTTATTGTTTTTTCCTTGTGTAATATATTTCTTGCATGCTTCAATGTACTGGTATGGTATATACTGAAGATCTGCTTTTTAATGGACTATTCAATCTTCATGTTATATATTCACATGTAAGAGTCTAAGTAATAGTGAAATGCAAGTCTTTATTTGACATGATCAAATTTCTATTTCTGTACTTATCCAAACATGAAAAGCTATAATCAAATGGCTTTAATAATCAAAACAAAAAATACAATGTGTTACACTGATGTTTTATAGCTTTTTATCTTAATATTCCTTATGCTGCAAGACAGTAATTGTAAAAGTATTGTGTGTCATAGGTACAAAGTAATTGTTAGCACTTGGGTAGTAATAGTGGCATTTATGATACCTAACATCTTTTAGCTGCCTGAAATGATAATATGCATCATTATCTCATTTGAGCCTCATAATTATGCCCTAAATTATGGATGAAATACAATACAATTTTAATGAAAATTACACCCCAAATCCCATATTAGAGGAATACAAATATTTTAGACACAAACAAAATGTTGTATTTAAAAACATACTGG